TGCTTTCTCAGCCCTGGATCCCCGAGCGCTGTCCCGAAAGCAACTAATGTCAAACCATGTCTTCACGGAGTTGTAGCATGTTCAGGATTTCAGGCTTTTGAGTTGGGGGTTAAGGGTTGCAGGGTTTGGGTTGTGGGGTGCGGGCGGGGTGTGTGTGACACCAGAAGATGTTGGGTCTGCAGCCAACGCAGCAAGCCACAACTCTCAAATAACCGAGCCGTGATGTTCACCAATGAGCCTTTGTCATAGTTGCGTAACATTATAAATTTTTATGGGTACTTAAGCCCAATACAGAATAAGCATCTAAGTTTTTCATCCTATCCCAACCATGAACTAGGAGCCTTGAAGAGGAAACCGTAAGGCTGCAAACGCAAACCTGCTAAACCTGAAACCCTGAACCCGCTTTCAAAAGAGGTCCTGCAGACTTACCCTTGGTACCTTGGGGAACCATCGGATTCCCAAGCCCGACACCCTTAATCTCCCAAACCCTAAACAACGGAACCCAATACCCTAAAGTCCAATATCCTCAATCCCAAAACCCACTAAACTACCCGAAACTCTGAACCCCTAATATAGGGGCCTAAAAAATTACCAATACTATTTTGGGGATTCCTTATTATCTTCAGAGTCTACTGGGCCCCCAAACCCTATTCTAATTATTAAGGCCCCTATAGTAAGCTCTAAATCCGACCTTCCTCAACAAGAGCCCAGTAAAGCCTCCCTCGCATCTGGGAAGGCTCGCCTAGTTCTGTGCAGACGGGAGGCCACACGAAGAGAGGGGGTTTTAAGGGTGTGTATAGTAGGGTTGATGATATAAATCCTGCATTACCCATAATAAGGAATATACGATAACTCCCATAGTTTTGGGTCCTTGAGGTAATGCAGGATTTATATCATCAACAGTAGGGCAGATAGCAGGGTTTAGAGTTTGGGGCTGCGGGTCTGTATTCGAGGTTTTTGTGAGGTTTACACAGTAGGGTTTCATCAGGGCTATCTTTTTGAGTGGGGTTTTATAGGGTTTTGGTGGTCTAGAGGTTAAAGGCTATAAAGGGTTTCATGATTTCGAGTTGCTCCGGTCTCGATGGTTTAAGGGTCAGGGTTGCCGGCTCAGCAAATGTCAGAGATTCCACGGTTTAGTGTTTAGGGCAAGTTTAGGGTTTAGGGTAACTCAACATTTCTGCTGTGGGAGATCCTCGTTCCTGCATCTTTCAGTTGGCACTGAGCGCTGAACCCCTTCAAGAATAAACGGTAGTATAGACGGTTTAGGGTTTACTTCAACAGTTGGTAATATGATTCCTCAGGGATTCCTTTATCTAGATACCAGAAGATTCACGGGTTCCTTCTTCTAAATACTACAAGATTCCCCAAGCGCTTGTTCTAATTACATCCACCAGATCATCATCCGTTTTACAGTGGCTAGGCCCTCCCTGAAAGTATGTTTGAGTTTGATCTAACATGATCCAATACTCTATCCCCAGACCCGAAACTTGGAACCCCAAGCCCCAAACTGTTGTGCACTTTATAAAACAGCAACTTTTCAACCCTACACCTTAAACCCTAAACCTCTACGCCCTTAAACCCAACTCCGTGTTTAGGGTTTAGGGTTTAGGGACCCTAAACCCTAAACCCTAAGCCCCAGATACAAGAAACCCGGGAGTCGGGAGCCATGGAGGGACCCTCTAGCTCACCTTTGGAAGCCCTAAGCCGCAAAACAAGTATACGGAGTCATGGTTCAGTGTTGCGGGCCGACCGAACCGAACCGGCCCCTCAGTCGTAACAGGCATTTCGGACGTCCCTTGGGCAGACGGAAAAGAGGGTTCAAAAAAAAGTATACTGTTGAAGCCCGACATAGGTTTTAGGGTTTAGAGCCATAGGAAGATAAGATAGCACGATATAAGAAAGAAATGTACAAAAAGATATAATATGCCGATCTGAGATATAAACCCTAAACCCGACACCCTAAACCCTAGACCCTGAACAGTATGATATAAACCACTGACAGCGAGGCTCCAGTCAGCCGCTGAAGCCCGCCTGGGTCTCGGCGCTGCCCCTTCGAACGCAGGCCAGGAACGTGTTTAGGGGTGCATGGGGGCCCTGGGTTGACCATAGGGACCTTTAGGGGCGCAGGGGGAGGGGGGGTAGGGGGCCTTAAGGCCCACAATAAGGACTAATAAGGCCTATTTTAAGGAAATATAGTCCCCTACACCCCTCCCCCCCTACACCCCTAAGGATCCCTATGAGTTGAGGGTTTAGGAAAGTTTAGGATTCATGTTTAGGGATTCAGGGGGGTTAGGGTTTAGGGTTTAGGAAACTTTAGGATTGTTGTTTAGGGGTTTAGGAGTCGAAGGGTTTTGGGGGTGCAGGGCTGGTTGTTTAGGGTGATTGCGGTTTTGGCGTTTTGGTTGGCGGGGCTGAGAGTGCCGCTATAAACTTGTGTCAGTAGCAATAGCCTGACAAAGCAGCTGCTACTCACTTCTGTTATCGTACCCGCTCATGTTACCATCCCTGTCCCCATAGCAACGGCCCCCCCCCGCACCTTTCTGCAGCCTTGCATGTCAAGTCGTCGCTTCCCGAAAGAGCCCCAGAGTTGCTAATACAATATGAGATAGTATAATGTTCTATCTTATGATATTTCAAGCAATGGGAGGTTTGTATTTTGGTTCGGGTCATGTCAAGGTAAACCCCAATCCCCGACCCCAATTCCCAAACTCTAAACCCTACGCCGTACACCGCAAACCCTCAACCCAAAACCCCAACCACCCTAGGACCCTCAACAGACCCAAAACCCTAAACCCCAAACCCTAAAGTCTGAACCCGAAACCCTAAAACCTAAGCCCTCAACCCTAAACCCGTTTTAAGTCCCCGGCTTCCTTTACTAGGATGCCCAGTCGTACCCTTATTCCAATTTGGAGTCCTAGGTTCCTTATACAGTTACCCATTAGAAGCTGCCCCCACCTTGTAATAGTGGTATAATAGGAATATAATAGGGCCCTAATATAATCCTATATAATCCTTGTAGTCACTATTACAGGGTGGGGGCAGCTTCCAAGTTACCCGATACCAAAAAGAGAGGCCTTTTTATTCTTAGGTTACTGGGTGTCCTAGTTTAGTTGCCGCTTCGAAGGGCCGCCTTGCCGCTTGCGCCTCGACGAGGGAAGCGGTGCAGGTCCTCGACGAGGCCCGGTTTAGGGTTTAGGGGTTTAGGGTTTTAAATTTAGGGTTCAGGGGTTTAGGGGTTAGGGTTCAGGGGTTTAGGGTTCAGAGTTTAGGGTTTAGGGGTTTAAGGGTTGTTGTCTGGGTCATAGGGTTTAGCGTCTAGGGATTAGGGTTTTCAGGGTTGTAGCTTTTAGCGCCTTTTGGTTCCATAGGGTGTTCACAGGGGGTTGTAAGATCTTATGACGGCGCATTAGAGTGTTAGGTCCTTGCCGAAAGGTTTGGGTCCGGTATCGTCTTCGGGCGTCTGAATGTCAGTGTAGGCAGGAAGCTTGCTTGAAGAAGCCCTACACCCCGAAAGCCTAAACCCCTCTAAACCCTAACCCCTAAAGCCCAAACCCCTAAACCCTTAAAGCACTAAGCCCCTTGAGCCTACACCTTGAACCCTAAGGAGGCTCTCGAAAGGCTGGCGGCCTGGAGAAAAAACATCAATTCCCTGATTCTAGAGCCCCCAAAAGCCTTAAATCCTCAAATCCGAAGCCCTAAGCCCTGAAACCCCGGTTTAGGGTTTAGGGTTTAGGGTTTAGGGTTTAGGGGTTTAGGGTTTAGGGTTTAGGGGTTTAGGGTTTAGGGTTTAGGGGTTTTCGGATTCAAGTTGCTTGAGCCTGACAGTTTATCGTTGGCGTGCTTATGTCGCGGTCGGGCCATAGCATAATGGGTCGGCGCACGCCGCAAGACACACCCTAAACCCTTCCGTAGTAAGACTTCGTGCAGACGAAAGGAGCCCTTAAAACAAAGCCTTAAACTCTAAACCCTAAGCACTCAACCTGCGCAGTGGGGTGCAGGGAACGTTGAGCGAACCCGAGACCCAAATCCTCAAAACCCCAACCCTATGTTTGAATTGAAATAGTAGAGTGCCTCATAATGTCATACAGTATAGTGTAGTATAGCAGAGTCCAACCCAGTACAGTGTAGATCCGAAAACTTGTAAAGCCCACAGCAGTGGACCACGAACCCGTAAGCCCTGTATCCCTGCACTATCAGCACAGAAGCTCCTGCAGCACCGAGGCTGTGGACGGTGAGCCTGATGAAGCAGAGGCCTAGATGAATGCCTGGGGTGGTAGGGTATGTAAGCTTACATGTTTGTTGCAACTGTATAACCGTCCCTGAAATCCTATCCCTAAACGCATATGGAATCCCAGCACGAATCCTTCTGAGTACACATTCGAATTTTAATTTTCTGGGGTTCACTATCGTCCTAAGCCTTTACAGCACCAAACCCTTAGATCTTAAACCCGCAAAAGCCACTCAGAAACCCGAGAGGTCTTTTAGTGCAGGCAGTTTGGGTTAGGGCGGCGGTTTGGGGTTCAGGTTTGCCATTCACTGAATAACGCTCTTTGTATAGTACAGCCGCTTGCAAAGCACCCTGATAAATCCAAAAACCCTCCTCTAACAACTCCAACTCAATACACACCGAGATTGTACTCATGTTCAGTCCTGAACAATTATCAAAAAATATCCATTACGATTTCCGAAGGTTCCCCAAGATGGTTCTGGTGCAACATACCCAGAGACTTATTCAAAATTCTGAAGGCCCCTGTATGAGAAAGGCTTCTCCGGAGGAGGTCGCTGCGGCGCTGGCGTTGCTACAGCAGGCTCTTGCTGGGCTGCGGGGAAAGGAGGGGTTTGGGGTTCGAAGTTTAGGGTGATGTTGTACTTTTTTCCACCAGTTCGATTAGGATACTAAGTTGCCATGCATAGCTTCTTTCACCACGACTCGAGAAGGCTCTGAAAGTTTCCGCACGCCAACGGGGCCGAGCTGCCGGTAAGCGGTGGTCGCAAAGGTGATGCATGCCAATGACTCAGGGGTACTTAGAAACATTTTTTGTTTTCGGTTGGTATAATCCCTAAGAAACAGCTAAAATTATGATTTTTGCTAGGGTTCTAAGTTCAGTATAGATGAATAGGCTTGGCTTCTGCAAGTGTATCAGGCGCTTCTGAACAGAATCATCAGAGTTTTAGTCCTATGGTTTCCTTGTTATCACCATGGTACAGTTCCTAAACCCTCACACCCCTGGATCCTACGGCCTCACCCCTGAATCTTGGACCCTCAAGCCTAAATCCTACATAAACGCCGCACCCCCCAAACGCCTAAAAACCTAAAAGCAGAAGCCCTAAACCCTCAATTTCAGCTTTCTTCAGAGGGAGAGGATCCTCCACCGATGGAGTACCCATGGGATGGCACCCATCAAGCGATCCCAAGCATGCAGCCCCGCGCCTATCGGAGCTCACTCAGTGCTATGATGAGTGGGAGCTCAGTTGAGGACATCGAGGGTTTAGTAAACCCTAAACCCTAAACCGCCAGCTGACCCTGGAGATGGAGCTACCGCGTGGAGTCTGCTGGACCCACTGCATCATGTGGTTTTCTCTCCAGGTTCTAAGGATAGGACTGAATTCACGAAGTCGCCACATAGAGGACACCCCCAACGATACTGGTTAGACATTGATCTTAAATACTCTTTACCTATCTTGCAAGAATACATAGACAACACCGCCGAAGACCCCACTGAACACCGCAAGAATCTGTTACGGCTAAAGCAGATAATCCACACCAGCTCCCCGTTTCGACTGCACCTCGAGTCTGTTCCGCGCAATCGGGCTTGTTTAAGAAGGCATGATCGCAAAGTCTCGTGCGTGTGGCAGCCGTAAAATCCCTGAGCCTTAAAACCCTAGACCCCAAACCCCTAAACCCCCAAACCCTAAAGCCCTAAACCCTAAGGCCCTAAACTAAGGCCTAAAGTGCCCAAACCGGGTCCAGAATTTTCTGGTTGATCCCTTCTCGGGGGCAGCTGTGTTGTGTTGCAGGGCTGTGGGCCAGAGTTTGGGACGGTTCCGAGTGCTCCTTAGGAGTTACTTCTTTTTACATTTGGGTTGAAGCATGTACAAGCCCAAGGGCTTGTTAAACGTAGCAGCTTCATTTTGTGTCCAGAGGGATGTAGGATTTGCCATCTCGTCTTGTGGGCTAAGGTACAGGGTACAGGACGTTCGTGGGACAGCGGACTTCCACTGGGTTCCAGGTTCCAGTCATCAGCCAAAGGCTTCAAGGCAGTGTGCAGTCGCAAGATACCCAAGCCTTTAAGCACCTGAACCCCTAAACCCTAAACCCTGAACCCTAAACCTTAAACCCTAAACCCTACACCCTAAACCCCGAAACCCTAAACCCCAAACTCTAAGCCCTAAACCTCTAAACTCTAAGCCCTAAACCAGCGCCTCAAGGCCAGAGCTCCACATCCCGAAAGCCCCTATCCTGAACACACCCCTCAACGTCTGTGGGGTGTGTTCAGGGTGTGGGATTTCGGGGCCATAAGGCTTAAGACCCCCTAAACACCACAGCAAGCCACTAACCCCTATAGAATCCCCTAAGGCACTGAAGAAACCAAGCCTTAGAGAGATCCCTTATCGAACCCTCATAGACCCCTTATGATCCCTTATAGAAGACTTGTAGATCCATTTGGAATCTTACAAACCCCTTACACAACCCTACAGCCCTGAACCCTCAGCTCCCGAAGATCTCGCCGCGAGGCCCAGAGAAGACTCGGTGAGCTGGAGGAGCTGTGGCAACACCTTTTTGGGCATTTAGGGTTTCCTTCAAGGGTTGGTTTCTAGGGTCTGGGGTTTTTTAAGGGTTCCTTTAGGTGTTACTCTCGGGGTACGAGGGTTTTAGGGTTCAGTTTGATGCAGACCCCCAAGCTCCTTTCTAGTCATCGCAGCCCCGTTAAAGAGCCTTTCAAGAACCCTAAATAGTAGAATCGGGAAGCTTGAATCCCAAGCCCAAAACCCTTGAACACCAAAACCCCAAAACCCTCAAGACCAATAATCACGAGGACAGGCCAGAGTAATTACCAATACTATTCCTCTATTGGGGTTCCTTGTTATATGTTCACTTTAGCCTACCTTAAACGTCCGCATCATCGAGGCGCTGATATTCTGAAACCTTGTAGAAGCCTCTATAAAGGACCCTTAGACGGACCTTGTTCTAATGATTACGGCGCCCCTTTCCCTCACCCCTTCTATATAAAAACCCTTCGCGAGCTCTCTGCCACGAACCCGATTCTAAGGATTTCAACCCGGGGTTCAGGGTTTTAGGGTATTCCCACTTAAAGGCTCATGGGACTTAGTAACTAGGGCCACTAGGGTTATAAATAAGGTAACTATACTTACAATTGCTTATGACCCCAATTAGGGGACTTATAACCTTACTTACTAAGTCGCATGATCCTCTAAGTACTGTACAAAGCCCTAAAACCCTTCTAACTTTTTTTGTTATTATAATCCCTAAGAAACAGCTCAAATTAGAATTCTTGCCAGGGTTCTAAGTTCAGTATAGGTATTCCCAGGAGAAGCAAGAGCAGATGCGGCAACGCCACCAGTCAGAGGTGGGCGCAGCGAAGATGCCACGCATGGTCTAGGGAAAGGCTGCAGGAGAGTGTTTAGAATTGAGCTTGTGCGGATTTGTATAGATTTCTGAGGGTTGCGGAAGGGTGTTGCAGAAACTTTGGGGGGTCTAGTCAATTTGCCAATGAGGGTTTTGGAGTTTCAGGGTTCCTGTTTTAGGTTTCGGAGGCTAGGGTTCGGGGTCTAGGCATCACTGATGAGAACTGGGCCCTAAACCCTAAACCCTAAACCCTAAACCCTCAATTCTGCGTGAGAGAACTCCGGGAGCCTTCCGCCCGGGGCCGTTCCTGCCGGCCCCTCTACTTAGGGGTACTTAGAAATATTTTTTAAATTTTTGGTTGTTATAACCCCTAAGAATTGATAAGCTAGAATGATAATTTTTGCTGGGGTTCTAAGTTCAGTATAGTCGATCAGATGGCAAGTTCTCGGAGAGACACATAGATAGCGACGAGGCTGAGGGAGCTGCAGGGTGAAGACGACTTGTCGAGGCACAGCTGCAAGGAACCATACTCGCCTGGATGGCCTGGTCCGGTGCAAACAAAGCCAACGCTGGCAGACTTGTGGGATCCATACCCTCCAGCGACATCTACTCTCGAGGCATGCAGTCTCGCCCTCTCAGGAAGCTAGCCATGGCCTTGAACGCCGTCAGAGCAGGGACTTTCCTCCCTGAGACCCCGAGGCACAAAAGAGCGGCGTGCCCCACGCGCACATGCAGCTGCCCAGAGACTCCAATATCCCTTAATTCAGGAATATACCATAAGTTATAGTAGGATCTTTAATATGATTTAAGAAATATTCCTTAAGTAAGGGATATTGGAGTCTCTGGGTGTTCATCCAGTGCCTGCACCAGTTCACGCCGCTCGGGGATCTTGCGGCTGCGGGCTCGGAGCGCATCCGTGCTCTTCTGCAGCGCGACAGTTCCTACACGGCCCACGTCCGCCGAAGCGTGTACTGCGACCCGACCGCATGGCAGCGGAAGGTTTGAAGGTGGGGCTTGTATCGGGGTTAAAACCTGATTCAGCAGTAACAAAGCCCTGCCAAAAAGCAACGCAGCGAGTATAGTTACGGTTTAGGGTTTAGGGTCAAGGGTATTTAGGGTTTAGGGTTTAGGGAGTTCTCGTAATCACGGCACACCGCATGATAGCAGCAGCACTGGAAGTGGTATAGATGGTTCAAGTCGTCATATAGAAAACATCTGTTTAAACCCTAGAATTTGCCACTTGACAGTGTAAGCAGCAAGTCATCCTGAGTTGTCTGCGTGTCGGTATATAGTAACTATTGGTAGGGCTTTACTTGGCTGCTACTGGGCTGTAGCATGCATCTTCGGGTTGGGGCTACCTGGATCTTCCTTCATGAGGGTATACTGGAAGCTCGACGTAACAGAAAGCTTCTTGTATTGAGGCAGAAGCCCTAAACCCTACACCGCCAGAATGAGAACCCCAAACTCCAAACCACAAAGAAAGCATCTAAGCCTCGGGCTTTATGCCCATCAGCCCGCAAGCCCGAGTCTCCCCAAGCCTTGAGACCGAAGCCCCCAACTGCAAAGTACTGAGCGCTTGAACGCCCAAACGCTTAAGCCTCAAAAAACAAATCGCCTCGACCCAGAGACCCTTCAAGAGCAGCTTTAAACACCCGGTTGAAGAACCCTAAACCTTAAACCCCAAAGAAGCCACAAAGCCGAAAGCCTGCAGGACTCCCATCAGGCCCTATAAACCCTAAACCCCTAAACCCCTAAACCCTAAACCTTAAAACCCTAAACCCTAAGCCCTAAAACCCTAAACCCTAAACCCTAAACCCTAAACCCTAAACCCCTAAACCCCTAAACCCTAAACCCCTAAACCCTAAACCCCTAAACCCTAAACCCTAAGCCCTAAACCCCAAACCCGAAGCCCCTAAGAACTCCAATCAAGCCCTTAAAAACGCCTTTCAACACCAGCGTTTAAGAAATCGGTAAAGCTCCAGGAAGACCATATGGGTAGTTCTCTAAATTAGGGGTTTAGGGTTTACTGTTTGGGGTTTAGGGTTTGGGGTTTAGGGTTTTAGGGTTTTAGGATCCGTTTTATTTGGGTGCCGTATTTTGGGGACCTGAACAAGGAGCCTGGTTTAGAGAACTAGCCATATACGGTTCGTACGCAACCCTATGAAACCAGTATCAACACCTACGAGACTCTTGCAAAGCCCGAAAGTTTATCCCCCGGCCTTAAACCCGAATCCCAACATTCTAGCATATGAGCTTCAAGCGAATATATAATCCCTAAACCCTCAACCTGTGCACCCCTAAACCCTGAATCCATGAACCCTGAACCCCTAGACGCCTCTTCCTGTGCAGCTGGATGCCCTTCGGGATCAACTCCGCGATGAGCGGCGCCGGAGTCCCTTGGCCATCAGCCTTGTTTTTGTGAAGCGCGACTCTGTTTGTTCTGTTTCTTTAGCCTCGCAAGCAGAACAAAGATAGTAGCAACAGCTGGAGTACAATTCGAAATCTGTGGTATTGTCATACTAGCAATAGTAGAGATGGCCGTAACACCTCACTAGCAATCATAAAAGTTAGCACTTTGCTGTTGTTGTTGTTGTTGCATGTAGTCAGGAGATGAAGCTTCTAGAGTATGATTTTACACTTCTTCTATGTGCAGTTTCGATAGGGTTTCCCAAACCACCCTAAACCCTAAACCCCTAAACCCTAAACCCCGACAGATCCTAGCTTTAAGACCCAGGGCACGACTCCTCCTAAGGCCCTGGCACCTTACATCCGAATCTCCTACCGAGGCCTTTAGATTTCGATGTGTCTTGTCCACGAGCATGAAGGGACTGCAGAGCAATTCTTGAAGCCCCCCCCCCCCCCCCATACGTCTATGTTGCAAAAAACCTACCTGGAGTGGATGAACGACTAGTTCTGGAGTCTTACGGAGTAGGGTTTGTGGGTCTCCTAAAGAATGTTGATGAGTTTATACTTTGGGTGGTAATATATTATGGTAGTCAAAATTCCACTTCATACAAGTAGGCCTTCTTATCACACGTTGGCATGTCCAGAGATTCCAATACTGTACTTCTCAATCAAGGAATATTCTTTTACACCACGGTAAGACAGACCCTAAACTCTAAATCCTTAACCTTATCTAAGGGCTCTTTAAGGGTTTAAGATCTAAGGGTGTATAATTTTTTTGGTTTGGTGTTTGGAGCTCTTTAGGGGCTTAGGACTTAAGGGTTTAGGGTTTAGGGCCCTTGCGGGTTTTAGGATGTAAGTCCAAGGGTAAAAGGCCTTAATAAGGACCCCTAGGGTATATACCGTTAATATAGCTTTTATACACCCATTATATAGCTTACCCTAAACCCAACACCCTAAATCGGGTCTTGCGTTTATCAGGGTTTGCGGTGGTCCTGAAGTCCCAAAGCCGCGAGCAAAGGCTGGAAACGGCTCCTGCGGCGTTTGGCAGGGCTCCTACGAGTGATGATATAAATCCTGCATTACCCATAACAAGGAATATGCCGCAATTCCCATAGTTAGGGTCCTTAAGGTAATGCAGGATTTATATACGGTTGCTTTTTTCGGTGCATGTGTTTAAGTTGCTTGGCTATTTGGGGTATTTAGGGTTTAGGGTTTAGGGCCTCTTTCTTGGGTATTCCGCTGGTATCGGTTTTAAACTTACATAGGGCGGCAGGGGTGTAGAGATGTCGCTTCACACCCAACCACAAATTCCATAGACTGAAGGGTTACAACACGCGAAACCCCTAACCCCAAGCCCCAAATCCTAAATCCTAAGAGATGCTGCTTACATACATGCATGCATACAGGCGGACACACATACTTACTTACCTGCGTACATACAGACTTACAGACATGCAACCATACAGGCAGAGAGACATACACAAATTAGGCGCATACATACATAAATACATACATACATACATACATGCACACACATACATGCGTGCATACCTACATGCACATATATATATATATATATATATATATATACATATATATATACACACACGAATATTATGTATGCATATCTAGACGCGCACGTGTACCCGCACGCATACGTACGCAGACGTACAGAGCAAACACCTACATTGACATACATCCAACATGTGTCCTTACGTCCATACAACCCTACATACATAGAGAGAGGGACAGAGAGACAGAGAGAGAGAGAGAGAGTCGCCATTGTGACTCAAGTCAGCACTGATTCACTTGAGATCCCTGAGTCCCTCAGCAGTTTGCACACTTCATCAACGCCATGTCGCATTTTGCGACGAAGAAGGTGCATGCGGCAGCTGCATGGCAGCTCGCTCGTCGCTCGACTACGAGGCTGAGATTGCCAAGCTGCGGGCTGCCAAGGACAGTGCCATATGCCAAGAAGGACATGCATGACGGCATGAAGGCGCTGGCTCAGGGTGCGGAGGAAGAAAGCAAAGACCGATCTCGTGAACCGCCAGAAGAAGAGGGCAGTTTCAGCCCTCATCGACGCCAAATGGATGCGGATTGGCCTCCACGAGGCTCTCTTCGCGGAGAAGCAGTGCCAAGCTTCGGAAGGGGCGGCGGAATCGAGGAGCTCTGAACCCTCCATCCTGAACCTTGAAGCGACCCTAAATCTTTTCTCCAACCTTGAAACCCTGAACCTAAGCTCCGCAGTTTCCAGCCCTCTGTCCTGACACTTCCTCACTTTGTACTCAAATCGTAAGCCGCGCTGCAGCCCTTGAAAAGCCTGCAGCTAGTATACCTCTGTTAAGACAACCCTCCACAGCCCTGGAAATGCCCATAGTAGATCTGAGTCAGTCTAAACCCCAAACCCCATAAAATGTAACTCCCTAGTAAACAGCCAGTGTACACCTTAAACCCATAAATTGTAGACCCCTGACATAAGCACCTGCATCCTTCTTGGGATCTTTCTTGTCAACCCGGTTGAAGGAGGCGGATCCATCAACCCGGGAATTCATAGGGAACCTTCCGGAGGGGGCCTTGATAAATGTAGAAGCCCAAATATATTCCAGTCTAACTACACTAGAAAGAGCCCAAAGCCCTAGTCCTACGGTACACTAATACGGACTTTAGAAGGGTGTAACAGGGTTTTTCTCAGGAAGTAGGGTATCCCCCAAGCACCCTTCATAGAGCCCTCATGACCAGCACTACAAGCCCTTGCAAAATCCGTGTAGAAGCTTTCTACAACAATCCATAAAGCCAAGTGCACCTTTCTGAAGTCCTTATGAAACATGTGTAAAACCGATTACGGCCATTACGATGCCCTTGTAAGCCTACAAACGAGGCATAAACTGTAAACTTAAACCCTAAACCCGAAACCCCTAAACACCTAAAAGCCTAAACCCCTACAGCCCTAAACTTAAACCCTGAACCCAAACCCCTAAACCTTCAAAGCCCTAAAACTCTAAACTTACACCTTAAACCCCTAAGGCATTAAGCTGAAACCCTAAACCCTCGTAAACCCTGAGGCCCCGCCTGGTCTTTCTTTGGCAGCTCACCGGGCACGGCCCGCGGCGCCAGGCAAGTACGGGTTCAAGGTTTTAGGGATTATAGGGCTTACCCTAAACCCTAAACCCTACTTAGTGTTTAGGCTTTAGGGCTTTGGGATTCGGTTACCGGATTTTTGGGGAGGTTTGGGGCTGCCGCATGTTTTGGGAGGTTTCGGGCTTAGTAGGCTTGGCTAGAGCTCTTTATAGGGGATGTTTAGAGTGCATCGGACTTCTGAGGTTTCAATTCGTCTGCCGGGTGCTGATGTCTTCAGAGTTGTCGGTTTGGGGATGCGGGTTTGGGTCTTGGGAGAAGCCTGCACATACAACCCGCTTCGAAGCTATTGAGAATTGAGAACCCGATAGCCTTCCATGAGACGGTTGATCCTGCCTTACCTTAAGGACCCTGAACTAGGGGAATTATGGCATATTCCTTATTAGGGGTAATGCAGGATTTATATCCTGTAGCTTGTATCATCCGACTTATCCAAGGGTAAAAGGAGGGACCCTTGGACCCCTAGGTATATACCCTTAATATAGCTATTCCCCATTCTATAGCCCATTATAGGGTAGGGGTCCCCATTAAATCGACCCTATAGGAACCGACCGCAGCTCTAAACTCAAACCCCGAACCCTAAACCAAACGTTGATCCCTAAATCTTTCTAGACCCCTTCTACGCACCGCCTATTACTATAGTACCCCCTTGTTAGTTCGAACCCCTCTAGGAATTCTTAAAGGATCCCTTGTCCCTCAACCCTAAACCCTCAACCCTCAAACCTAAACCCTCGTTCCTCAACCCTAAACCCTAAACTCTAAACCCTCAACGGCTTCTAGATCCCCTTAAGGAACCCTTAACGATCCCTTTAAGGAACCCTTAGCCCTTAGCCAGCTCTGATCTTTTCGAAGGCTCTCTGGCCAGTCCGCTCCCCACGAGCCGGCCCCAGCTGCGCCTTTCAAGCTTCTATTCTATATCAGGTTTAATATAGAAGATAGGACATAGAATCTATAGTCTATAGTCTATAAGTCGATAAAAGAAGATATATATATATATATATATATATATATATATATGATGCAGGGCTGCCACACCCCCCCTCCCCCCCCACCCCATGGTATCCTCCCCCCTTCCCCCCCGCCCCCCCTGTGGTGTGGGGCCTGTGGTGGTACTCTTTTTGCCACGACGTTCTTATGTGTTACTCCTTGTCTTCCCTCTTGTTGTGGCACCGGTGATACTGCTCATGATGTTGTGCTGCTCTAGACCGGGACATGAGTCGACGATCATACCATGCTCAACATCATCCTTGTCGTCGTCATGTTCATCATTGATACCTTCAAAAGAAGATCTGCCACCATCACCATCGCAATACAACCCTCATAATTCAGCATTGCAATTCACGTCAGATGCCGCTTTCCGCACACGGCAGGGCATAGTGCGACACTCCCGATCCGCGCACAAGGTCAAGGGGCAGGCAAGGTGCGGGCCGGGGGCGGCGGGGCGGGCAGGGCGGGTGGGCGTGCAGCAGCGCGGCCCGGGACCCGAGAGCATATATATATATATATATATATATATATATGCGGTCTTTGTGGCTTTTCTATAACTGTTTTATAGAGTGTCTTTGCAGTCTTCTTCGGGTCTGCTTTGCGGGTTGTAGGGTTTACGAAAAACAGCTAGGGTATGGTACGGTTTCATGGCATGTGGTAGGGCTTTCACACGGTCTTTCCTTGTCGAGGGTCTTTATGCATATATATATATATATATGTAGATTTATCTTATACGCATACATATACACATATGCATCCGTGTCTGTACATATACATATATCGTTTATATACATCCGTCCACATCCATCCATCCATCCCTCCGTCCGGCCGTCCGTGCGTGCGTGCGTGCACACACATACCTGCTTAGACGCTTTTGGAAGGGTGGAGGTGTTATGCTTTGGTTTCGAGTTATCAAGGCATCTAAAGCTTTGTCGGGTTTATGTTTTGCATGTACTTTGTCGTGCTTGTAGGTCGTCGCAAGAAGAGGAGTCCGGAGTATCAGAAGAATCACTTGAAATGAAGCAAGGATAAGCAAACGAAATCTCGTACGTCTGCGGATGAACGCGGCTTGCTCGCGCAGTTCTTGATGGGCCACCCTGCAAAGACGGCCGGTTCAATTGTTCAGGGTTCTACGGTTCTACCTTTAGCCCTGAACCTGAGGGTAGAGGTTTGACTTGGAACAGTTCCTAGACATGTTTCTGTATATAGGCCTTCCCAAACCCGTTTGGCCCTCCCAAAAATGCTAAACGCTAAGCTCTAGTCTCTTTTGAGGTATTATCCCTATAGAAATAGGATATGTTATATGATATGATGTTTCATGATATGATATGGTATGATGTTATGCTATGCTATGACATTTTTTATCTACCTGCAGAAATGCATTGCGATCTCCTGCGAGGCCCCGAAAGCGACGAAAAGATGCAAAGACGTCTGGAGAGGAGTTGTGTTGCCCTCTTTCAGGGTTCTTTAAAGGTTTGTTCCGGAAGGATTAAGGTGAGGGTTCCGCAAGGGTTCTGTAAGCTTTCTACAACTCCGCAAGGGTTCCATAAGGATGGTGTAAGGGTTCTGTTCCCAGGGTTCTATAAGGGTTCTATCCAAGTTTCGATCCCTAAGCGCACTGTAAGGGTTCTACACAGGGTTCTCAGAAGCCTGAAGTCTAGGCCCTGCATCCCTAAACGGCCTAAACCCTACACCCTGAAATCCTCAACCCCAGGATTCCCTAAACCTTAAAATCCCGAACCCCAGGATTCCCTAAACCTTAAAATCCCGAAGCCCTAAAACCCACAAAAGCCCTAAGAATCCCAAAACCATAAACTCCGAGAGCCCGAAAACCTTGAAGCCCTGAATCCCAAAACCCTCAATTCTAAACGCCAAGGAAGAGCTCCCTCTGAGGGTTCGGTAAAGGTTCCATAAGCGTTCTCTAAGGGTTCTAGAAAAACCCTACCTTAACCGACCAAAACCTACATTTTTGTAGGGTCCCTATAAATTCCATATTAGGGTTTATAATAAGAACCTACAAAAAGTAGGGCTTGGTAGTTTAAGGTAAACCCTAAACCCGACCTCAGGGGACTTCCGACGCGGACAATGCAGGCGGAAAATGGCCCTTAAACACAAAAACACCTAAACCCTAAACCGTTCAACCCTTATAGATCCCTTATAGTAACCCCTTATAGACCCCCCTTTTAAAGGAGCCCTACTCCAATTACTCTCTTAGAAAGAGCTCCCGGAAGCCCCGAAGGAGCCCCTTCTGGTGGAGCAGCCGGCGCGGCGAACGCTGGAGCCGGTGACCAAGGCTCCTTCGTGTTTTTTTGTGTTCAGGGCCTAAGAGTTTTAGGGGTTTAGGGTCTTAGAGTTTAGCGGTTTAGGGTCTTGGAGTTTAGGGTTTACGGCCTTTGGCCTTAGGGTTCAGGGTCCAGGGCCTTCGAGTTTAGCGGTTCAGGGGGGTGAGGGTCTTGGGGTTTAGGGTTGTTCATATTTGACTTTTCACAGAGGGTTGAGGGCTTTTTAGAAGTACTTCCTGTGCTTTGCCCGGATTCCTTTCCGTTAAAGTTAAGGGTTCTAAAAGGGCTCCGTTTGAAAGTTCTTTTGAGAGTTCCGTTCGGGGTCCTAGAAGGGGTCTCTACGCTCCAAGGTTACGAGGGTTTGGGGGTCTTTGGGGTTTCCTCAAAGGGTCCAGGGTTCAGGATTCAAGGATTTAGGGTTAAGGGGCCTAGGGGTTAAGGGTTTAGGGTTTAGGGTTTAGGGTCTGGGTGTTTAGGGCTTAGGAACAGGATCTACTCTGCTACTGGGGGCTTGCGATTTTCGGTAGCCAGAGTTTCAGATTTTTTGGCAAGGGGCTTAGGATGTAAGGCCTAGGATTGTGTTGTTTGTTTCGGGTTTAGGATTCGTTGTGCCAGGGCTGTGGATTTAGGGTTTTGGGGTGAGGGTTGAGGGGTTTGGGGTGGGTCTAAGTGAAAGTGTCCTTGCATGTATATAGGGGCTCCAAGGGAGCATTACATTCAAGGTGTTATCTTGGGATACCAGTCCTACAAGTTCCCTTGAGCCCTAAAACCCTAAACCCCGAAAACCCAAAACCCCAAAGCCCTAAACCCTTAGGATAGGGTCGAGGGATCTTCTGACCAAGATCTCATCCCTCATCCCTAAACCCTAAACCCCAAAGCCCTAAACCCCAAAGCCCTAATCCCTTAGGATACTTCTGTCCAAGATCTCATCCCTCATGGCAACGGCGGCAAAGCCCCACGCGCTGTGCAGGCCGCCCACGCTTCAGGTGAGGAGCGCCATTGGGAATCTTACTGACGTCAAACCCTTCCCCCCAAGGTGAACCCTAGCTTTAGGGGTTAAGGTACAGGGTTTAGGGTTTAAAGTGCAGGGTTTAGCTTTAAACCTTAAGCCCGAAACCGCAACACGAACAGACCTTTCAATTTATGTAAATGCCACAGGGCAGAGAGTTTTCACGCCCACAGCCTGAGGCTCCACAGTCGGCTCAGCCGAGTAATCGCAGCTCCCTCTCTGGTTTTGGGTTTCCGAGTTTCGGCTTTAGAGGTTTAGGGTTTAGGGTTTAGGGTTTAGGGTTTCGGCTTTAGGGTTTAGGGTTTAGGGTTTAGAGTTTCGGGTTTGGGCTTCAGGGTTTCCAGGCCCTACACCCCCAAGGCCCCGACCTCCTTCGCAGATTCAGTTCACGGTTTCAGAAGGCTTTGCGAGAAGCTTCGGAAGGCAATACTTACCTTTGGTTAGTAGGGAATGGAAGAATGGTAGCAATAGTATAGTTATAATTGTACCCTATTCCTCCATTCCCTACTCACCACAGGTAAGAACATAGAGGAGCCTGAAATGTTTGAAGCAATCTGAAACCGTCATAAAAGCCCCGCTGCAAAGTCTGCAGTCCAACCCGTACACAACTCTTAAAGAAGCCGTTGCAGGACCCCAAACCCTGAGCCCTGAAGCCTAAACTTTAAATCCCTAAAGGTATCCCTAAGAGCTTGGTCCGCTGACTGTGGGCTCTTGGGTCAAGAAGACTCCGCGGTCGAGGCTTTGCAGATGCGCTTCTGGTGCCAAGAAATCGAAGTCCCATCGGTATTTTGGGTTCACTTAAGGCCTTTGTAGGGGGAGGTTAAAGTTTTTAGGGCTATCGGGTTTAGTATTGAAGGGTTTCGGGGTCGCGGTTTGGGGACCAGCCTCTACAGATGAGGTCTTCAAAATCATGTTGAGTATTTGTTCCTATTGTGGGCATTGACCTTGTGACCACAGACTCCTTAAAGTAGGAATTCTTGTAGGGACCCTTACAGGAAGCCTGGCTGGAACCCTTACAGAACATATTGAGATGATGCACCCAGCCCTTGTTCACTGCGGGTTTAGGGGCGAGTTCGAGAGGGGCCCGGCGAAGATAGGAGGTTCCGACTACAAAGTAGTCTTGGGGGCTAAACCCCAAAACCCCAAAACACCAAACCCTAAACCTTAAACCCCGTATTATGGTTGTAGTCTCCTTGTGCAATCATGGTGTATATAGTGCTTCAAACAGACAAGATGCCAGCCCTCCTTGCTTAGGCCGCCACACAAGGAGCCCCAGCTGGGTCCCCCACAATCACTACGAAGGCTTACTTCAGGTTCGTAGGGAACCACTGAGTGGCTCTGCTTTTTTTGATCCTTTCAGGTGTCTGAATATATGGGGGATTTTTGGTTAGGGTTTTGGCGTGAAGCATTTTTCTTTTCGTAAGGAGCCGCATGGAAGATTGTTCTAATTATAAGGCCTCCTATATGGGAGTTTCCGATAATAGGGGACCCTAATATAGTACCCTAAGTAGTAGGATCCTTTTTATAAGGACCCCTAAATGAGGTACCCCTAATTTTCGGAAACTCCCAAACCCTAAATCCTGTAGATCCCTTAAAGAGACCCTTATAGGTCCCTTTAAAGGACCCCCTTTTTGTCGGAAACTCCCATATTACAGAAGGAGCTGCCAAGCAGAGCCCTGACTGTGGACTTCCCTGTTTCACTACCACCGTGCCGTGAGCCGCGGCTTCTTCTTGGTGAACTTTAATGGGCCCCTACTGCTGGGTTTGTTGAAGCAATCTTTTGGAACAGTGGTTTAAGGTTTAGGGTTTAGAAGCCAGGGTCATAGAGTCTTGCTTGTAAGGGACTGGCGGCTTCTAGTAAAGCGGCGTGAACCATTCCCAGTATGGCTTGTTTAGAAATCCTACGGAATGCCATGAATACCGCAAGAGCCTGTTTTGAGTTCCACAAGTATCGTGTGCTCAAGCCCACAACCCAGAGACTCGTAAGCCCAAGGTTTGAATCCAGAACTCCATAGACCCTAGACCCCTAATCCCAGTCTCAGCATGAGACCCCAACGCCTGAGCCCTGAACCCGGAACGCTGAGCCGTAAGCTCTAAACTCAAAACTCTAAGCCCTAAATCCTAGACCCTTAACCCTCCCCCGAACTCGGGATTTCATCTGTACCTGCAGTTGGAAAAGGGCCCCACCAGGAAACAACTTAAATCTGAAGTCTAAACCCTGCACCCTAAGCCCTAAACCCAAAACCCCTAGACCCCTAAGCCCTAAACCCCTAACAGCGACCAAGAAGGAGACATCTCCGGTTCTCGCGGAAAGAGAAAAGTACAAGGTTTACGCTTATAGAAGCTTTAGTAGTTTAGGGTTTGGGGTGTATGGGTGCAGCTTAAGGGTTGAGGGTTTGAGGTCTTCGGCTTCAGGGATTAGGGGTTCCAAGGGGTTTCCGTTTCCAGATTGTTGGCTGTTTCATATCATTGCTACTGTTGATGATATAAATCCTGCATGACCCATTACAAGGAATATACCCTAATTCCCATAGTTTCGGGTCCTTACGGTAATGCAGGAAATTGATCATCAACAGTAGTTCCCGTTAGGCTCATACATAGAGCTCCCAGGCCTCACGGGTCTTGCACGGCTTCTAACCGGCTGTTGCGGGATTTCAGTAGTTTATGGCTGGCCATAAGAGGGATTTGGGGTTTGGGGTCCAGGGCGAGTGCTCAGCATCTAAAGCCCTAAACCTCAGGTTTGATAGTTTCGGGTTACTCGAAGGCTCTTGCAGAGTCCTACAAAGGGTTATGAGTACCGCAACTCAGGCATATGATGTGAGCAGTTAGGTTTAGCTGTGATTACCCACCTAAACTTGCCGTTCCGAAGGCCAGCATCCCGAAAAGTTTTAGGCCGTATGGTTCAGAGTTTCGGGTTTACGAAAGCAGCGGAAGCTATTGTTCTCAGGACCTACCAGCCAGTAAACTAGAACCTCGCTCATGCAAGCACCCTCAAAAGTCCAAGCTTGAAAGCTGCAGCCCCAAAAACCCTAAACTCCAAGCATTGAGCCCTAAACCCTAAACCCTAAACTCCCTGCCCTTCTGTTCCGAATCCTGGAACCAACACACACTCCCTACGTAAAAGCACTCCTCATCTTAAGGCACCTGCTGAGTGAGGCCTTAGCAAAGCCTGCAAGCGCATTGGAGGCCCTCTGGTTTTTTCTTTCGAACCTCAAACCCTACACCCTAAACAACAACACATCCTGAGCCCTAAACCCTCAACCAGTCCAAGGTCCACATTGGTCCCTAAACCCTACAGATCCCTTTAAAGGAACCCCATCATAGATCCAACTCGGCGCTGTTTCTTGGGCTTCAGCTGCAGAGCCCTCTCTGTACATCCGACGGCTGTTTTCGCCTCCAGCTCCCTGCGACGATGAGCTCCGTGGATCGTCTGCACGGTTTCTTCGGGGCTACGACAACCCTGATTTCAAGAAGCCCCATTTCCCCGAAACCGTAAAGCCTCTAAACCCGAAGCCCATAAGCCTACTTTCGGTTTGAGAGTTGAGGTAGGATTTAGTGTTTAAGGTTCGGCTTTTACGATTTAGGTGTAGGGTTTGGGGTTTTGGATCACACAGTTTTGGCCAACGAGGTGGCTGCGAAGAAAGCGGAGTGGAACGCCTGCCTTGCCAAGCCGCTCGTCTTTCCTAGACCCTATGCCTTTCATAGGAGGCCAAAAGGGGTTGTAGCCTATGGGGGTTTAGTGGGAATTAGGGTTCCCATATAGGGTTCATATTAAGGAATCCCTACCCCAAGAATCTTAAACCCACCTTTCGGCCTCCCATCAGCCATGAATCCGAAGCCTTAAGTTTTAGTTCAGGGTGTAGGTTGTTCGGTTTCGAACCCTAAACCCTCAAACCGCAAACCTTGCACCCTGAACCCTGAACCCCTGAAACGGTTTGATGGTTTCCGACAACGGAGTAGCGAGCTTTACCAGAGACCACTCGATCTGCTGAACCCAAAAGCCTGAACCCTCAACGAATGCACCTTGAACCCTCCAAGCTAAACCTTCAAAACCGACACCCTAAACGCCTTCTCCCTGACCCCTAAATTCAAAGCCCTGAACTCCTCAAGTTTAAACCCCTAGTCGTACCCGTATAGATCCCCTAAAGCTCGCAGCGGAACCTTTCAATGAACCCTTAAAAAGAACCCTAGGCGACCTTTTGTCCCGACACCCTTTGCCGGCAAGAAAAACCCTAAACCCTGAACTCTAGACCGAACTCTAAACTCTAAACCCTAAACCCTAAACTCTAAACTCTAAACCCTAAACTCTAAACCCCAAAGGAGCGGCGGCTTTCCCGGGAAGTGCGAGAAGCTGGAAAAGGACCTGCGAGGCCTCTCCAAGGCCCCAGAGCCGTTTGGGTTCCTTGAGAGATTTTTTCTAAAGGGTTCCTATCCTAAGGAGGGGTTCCTTTAAAAGGGTTCAGGGTTTAGGGTTCCTTTCAGGGTTCCTTGTTAGGTTGCTTTAAGGCTCAACGGGTTCCTTTACAGGTTCCTCTAAGGGTTCCTCTGAGGGATCTTTGCCGGTACTATTGGGGTTTAGAGTTTTGGGGTTTAGAGGGTGGGGTTTAGGGTTTTGTATCGGGGTTTGAGGGTTTAAGTTTTGGGGGTTTAGGGGTTTGGGGTTTACAACGTCCTCAGCATCCCCGGCTCACGTCCGTCAGTGTCTAGGGGACGAGAGAGTGTCAGGCTAGGAATTTGGGGCTCTTCTGAGATCTAATGTAGGAGCCTTGATAATTAGAATAGGGTTTTGGGGTATACTGTGCTATGAAAAAACAAGGACCCCCCAGAATAGTATAGGTAAATTATTTAGGCCCTATAGTAGAAGCCCCGAGCCGGGCCCCATACTTCGCGCATGTGTGTAGGCCAGTGGCATCGAAAGCTGCGTTGATGAAACCATCGCGTGGGCCTCAGACAGCACCGTGAGCACAATTGGCAACACTGATCGAAGTTGCGATGGCGATGCTGGG